TCACAACTTTATTTCATTCAGTCAAAGAGATTATCTCAGATACAAACAGTTTTTGTTCACACATTGTTTACATGTATTTGATTTCCTTCACTTTACCACTGTCCCACTCAGCTACAAAGACGTTGTCTCTGGTGTCTACAAATAAACCCCATGGATAATGTAGATCACAGTTATCAATGTAACGGAGGAACTGTCCATCCTGATCTAGGACGTGTATACATTTGTTACTAAAGTCTGCTGTCAGGATCTGACTCTGGCTGTCTTTTGTAATGCCACGTGGATCAAATGATACCGTGGTAGTAGAGGGATGACCAGTGTATCTAAATCGGAGTTTTCCTGCCTGATTAACCACCACTACTGCTTTGGCTCTCCAGTCAGCAACACAGATATCCAGGTTTCTGTTCTCACTGATGTATTTAATGTCACCAGATGAATACAAAGGTTTACCTACACTATCAAACTGAATGGTTTGTTTCTCTGTGGAGCCAGAGTAACGGACAACTTTTGATTGTTTATAATCATCACTATCCATGGTAACCAGGAAGTCACCAGAGGAGGTACTACAGACATTGAAAGGTATCCACCCCCGTAGTCTGATCACTTCCTCTATCTGTTTATTCTTCACTTTGTTTACAGTTCTTGTATCACGGTCAGTATAAACTAGATCGCCACTCCTTGTCACTGCTATGTCACGTGGTCTGTACCCAGACTTGGTTGGGATTGACTTCAGTAGTTTGCCCTGGATGTTGTAGAGTTTCATGATTTTGTCATCTCCATGTGTCCAGATTTCTTCATCGCTGAGACAGGTAACACTGTATAGTTGTTTATACCCAGTGTCTATGGTGGCGATGAGCTCTGGTTCATCAAGCAGTGGTTTGACTGGAGGACAGGAATCATCTTCTGGTGCCTTCATTGTGTAGCCATGTTCTTCTGTTGTAATGGATAATGCTGACAGAGAACCAAACATTTGATAGAGCTGTTCTGTGTTGATCTGATGAGGAGAGAAACTTGGAAATGATACAGTGATCTTAGGAGGTAAACTCATGAATTTAGCATTCCTAGATTTGTATGCAGACGTTAGGGAGACTTCATTGGAGTCCAGTATTTTCTTTAGATCAAATATGCTTTGTTTTACTTCAGAAATAATCTGCTCGATTACATTTTCCTGTTTATTTAGAGCAGCCAGGTGTTTAGATTTCATCTCATCAATTTCAGATTTTCGATTGTTAACAATGATATTAATATCTCTGTGCCAGTCTTCTCCTTGTTTGGTGACAGCTGTTGTCAGTTTCTCATAATGTTTCTCCAAGTGGACTTTTTCAGAGCTTAAATCTGAGGTAATTTCCTCAAATGTTGGAAGGATTCTTTTCTCTAGATCTTTCAAGTCATATTCTAAATCTTTTGTTTTTGAACTGAGTTTCTGCAGAGCATCAGATAAATCGTGTCCTTTATGTTTCCCAGAGGAGATGCAGGTAGAACAGACAGGAATGTCACATTTCTCACAGTAAAGTTCACAATGTTTCTTGGTATGTTTTGGACATTTTGGGTAGTTAACATTAGGGGTAGATTTTCTTTGTTTGTATGGTACAACTTTGTGTCTTTTTGACGAGTCAGAGAGATGTTTTCCAACACATACTATACAGAGGTTTACATGACAAAGTTCACAGTGACTCTGTAATGCAGCTTTTTGACACAGGTCACAAAGGAGTATGTCTTGGGCACTGTAACGGGGGTCCATCACTGGGGATTGGGTCAAACAATAAGCAGACCCTGTAATGAAAATACAATAAAAGTTCAAGTTTTCTTTTGGTGAAATTCTAAGACCGTTAACCAGTTTGGAAATGACGGTAGGGAACTATTGATTAGTGTTCACAGTAATAAAAAATGCTCTGTACACCTTGTGTATTTATGAGGAAGAACATGATGTTTGCAATTCTTTATAATTAATATCATCAGTATCATCAGAGGTGCCACTTTCTTGTGTTTAAATTAAGTTAATGAATGACAATGGCTAGAGTAATTTAATGTACCAGGTACGTAACAATATGTTATATCTGAAATATGATTGTCTCACTTCTAAATCCATCATGGTTTAACCCCAAAAATCATAGTAAAATATAAATACATGTAGTATAATATAAAGTGATTCTTGAATGTATTTTAATTGATGTGTTTAATTACACCTAGTGAGGTCATTAATGACAGCAGCTAGGGTAATATCTTGTAACATTAAATTTACTAAATATGATATTTCTTACCTCTAAATCCAACATGGCCTCCCTGATAATCCTGACATCACAATTTACTTCCTTTTCTTCATTCTAAATATTTACCTGTTACCAGGTCACGTGATTTAAATACCTGAGGTGTCCATATCTGCATTATCATCCAGTGTAGAGTAAAATTAGTGTAATGAGGTGGTTAATTTATTCTCCGCAAATGAAGCTTTGGGGGTTTATTGGACTGTCCTATATGTATCTGTCTGACTAGATGTATGTAGGCATTTATTGTCTAGACATCATCTTTTTAACTACCAAAAATAATAAGTTAAGTTTGGAAAAGGTCACAGGGTTATTGATGCTTTGTAATAGCCACAGTTTTGAAAATAAAATCAAAATTCAGTTAAAGCTTCTAGCTGAGGCAAAAGTTGCATTTGTCTGAACATTATGTCCCAACTCTACTCAAAGTTATTTTAACAAGGTTGAGGTAACATATTTTAGAAAATAAATCAAAAGATTTTGCCATAGTCATTCCTATAATGTTTATAAAATCAGAAAATTGTACTCGACACAAATGATCCTTTGGACCTAAGGGTATGTTACAAACATACACTTGTCATTAGCACAAGATCATAGAATATGAGTGAAAAAAATATTTTTCATAATAAAATTTTATCATAAAGTAGCTTCCAAGATCATACCTGTATTGTCTTAGGTGCGTTAATTATGATCAAAGGATATTATGTCATGACCTAAAGCAAAGGTTATTAGAAAAAGGTCAAGTTCAAAGAGACATCTTTGAAATGTATAATTCTATAACACAGAACTTTTGTTTTAGAAGTATCAATATGTGATGCTTAATGAATACAGCTATTTGTGATTTTTATGAATCTATGTTTTATCCATAGAAATTATGGTGTGTTCTGTTAATTGTAGGTGTCTGCACATCAGGCAAAGAGAAAGATAACCGAGTCAACAAAAACTCCTATTGAGTTCCTAGCCAAGCATGATGAACTCAATTTTGAAAAAAATAAGTTTATCTGATATATCTAATAATGAAAATAATTCAAACCCAAGTATTTTTTTTTCTCTATTAGTAGAAGCCTAAGTCATAATACATCTTTTCAAAATTAAGAAATTAATTGAATATAATCCATAGAAATTTTTATATTAATATTCATATTTAAAGAATAAAGGAAAATCAGATACCTATAATTATTTTTTTTAAAGGAGCTGAAATATTGTCAGTGTACAGGTAATATATGTATTTTGTTGTGAAAAAAATGCTCGGGTTTGTTCTTCATGAGATAAACATGTAAGCGATAAATTTAATTTTTCGAAGGTGATTTCTCGCGATATCAACAATGATCAACAAAGCATTACTTCTTGTGTGACCTAACAAAAATTATTTTTTTAACTTTTGGATTTTGATATCTTTTAAAGGAAAAGACTTGGGGGATATAATCTGACAAAAGTTAAAACAATTTATGGACAATTATTTTTCAAGAAAAACGAATATATATTTTTAGTGATTAGAATCGGACCAAGCGGCTTTAAATAGGATTTGTTTTTAGCTTTACTGGTCAGAAACTTAAAGTGATTATTCATTATAAAGGTTTCGATGGTCTGTCTAGCTGTCTGACATATGTAAACAATTTCCAAAACCCTATACTCTTCTTAAAGTTTTGATCCAATTCAACATAAAACTTAAAACACAAGTTGACCAATTCTTTATATCTCTTTGATTTCAACAGTGTTACCATGGTTACTAAATATAGAAATTTCTTTAGAATTCTTTCTAAATAACCAGCCCTACAGTTTTGGTTCAATTGCTGTAAGTACACTATACTAAGATACATACTGTGTTAGGAGGAAGAGTTAGGTGTCTTAATAACGGTGCTAGCCAGGTTTTGTTATTGTGATATAAAAAGTTAAAGGGTTAATTTTGCTTGGCAATTTGCTACCAATTCAATCACAAACAATGTGTATTTTTTGCTCTTCTGAGCCAAAGGCTCAAAGAGCTAATGCTATGGCCATTTGTGCGGTGTGCGTAAACTGTTTAGAATATGGGCCGTAACTCAAGAACCCCTTGGCCAATCAGTACCAAATTTACACTTGGTATCCTTGCCCAAGGGCTACCATTTATACTAAAATAAGGTTTGGGACCCTTAAACAAGGGGAGATAATCAGGATAACACAACCAAAAGTAATGGTTGCTAAAAAATCTTCTTCTCCATAACCACCAGGCAGATTTTCACCAAACTTACATACAAAAATCAGGATATGTCAAAGATTAAAATTTGCACGGGGAATTACCCTGGAGCAAATGGCGTGGTCTCAAGGTCACTACAAAGTTGACCTTAATTTACAATTAATAAAAACGTGTATATTTTGCTTACTATAAGGACTAGGATAATCTAATCGTGTAAGTTGATGCATCTTACGACTTCACATCATGTTAACTCAAAAGTAGGTCACGGTGACCTTCTTTTTAAATTTTGCGGGGATTTTTTTTCAAATTGATTTCAAGGCATATTTTGGACACTTTAAGGCCTATGACCATCAATCTTTGTCAGTTGATGCATCTTGGGTCCTTGAAAAATATCAACTTAAAAGTTTGTCACCGTGACCTACTTTTTGAACTTTATGACTTATCCGTTAAAAAACATTAAATCCCATTATTTCAGACACTCGGAGGTTTGGCGTCATCAAATCTTGTACTTTGTTGCATCTTGGGACCTTAAAACATATTTATGAAAAGTAGGTCACTGTGACCTACTTTTTGAATTTTGCCAACATTTGTTTTCAAATTCTTTAAAACGCATATTTTGATTACCTTCAGACCTACGATTATCAAAGTTGGTCAGTAGATGCATCTTGGAATTTTGAAAATTGTCGATCAAAATGTAGGTCACGATGACCTACTTTCGACATTTGATGGCTTTATTTAAGTATCTTAGGTATTTATTGGCTTAGAATCATCAAACTTTGTGAGTGGATGCATATTTGTTTTTCGGAGAGTGACGACCAAAAAGTAGGTCATTGTGAAATACTTTTGACATTTTATGGCTTTATTTAAGTATCTCCATTACTTATTGGATTAGAATTATAAAACTTTGTGAATTAATGCATCTTGGGTTTCCGGAGAGTGATGACCAAAAAGTAGGTCATGGTGACCTTCTTTTGACATTTTGTAGCTTTAATCAAGTATCTCTGGTACTTATTTACCTAGAATCATCAAACTTTGTCAGTTGATGCATCTTGGGTTTTCGGAGATTGACGACCAAAAGGTAGGTCACAGTGACCTACTTTTGAATATCTCAGGTACGTAAAAGCTTAGAATTTTGATATTTTATGCCTATATTTAAGTATCTCAGGCGCTTATTGGCTAAGAATCATCAAACTTTGTCAGTTGAGGCATCTTGGGTTTTCAGAGAATGTCGACCAAAAAGTAGGTCATGGTGACCTACTTTTGGATATCTCAGGTACGTAATAGCTTAGAATCATCAAACTTTGTCAGTTTTGGCACCTTGGGTTTTAGGAGAACGTCGACCAAAAGTAGGTCACAGTGACCTACTTTTGACATTTTATGGCTATATTTAATTATACAGACCCTGAGACGTGCTACTACCCCCAAAAAGTGTGTGGCTTTCGTGCGCTTTCCGTTTCGTGCAAACCGTGTAGCGTTTCGTGTAAACCGTGCAGCGTTTCGTGCAAACCGTGTAGCGTTTCGTGTAAACCGTGCAGCGTTTCATGTAAGCTCCAAAGCGTTTCGTGCAAACCGTGTAGCGAGCGTGCGAAAAGCGTGTGAGAAACGTGCGACTTTCGTGTAAGAACCGTGTGAGAAACGTGCGACTTTCGTGCAAGAATTGTGTAAGATTCATTCGGAAGTCATTTCATTTTAAATATGGCTATCGATGGGTCAGGATGTAAAATTCTATTAGTATTTGTGTTATTGAATTAGTTATGCTTGTGATATTATAGGAGTAAAAACAAAAAAAAATGGAGCAACAAAATGAAATTAAACGGTAATGTATGATTTAAATTTGTTTGATTTCTTTTCCTTCTATAGAAAATGTGTTCAAATAAATCAACTATGTACAACAATTTTAAGGGCATTGTATTCAATATACTACATGTATCAACGCAATCGTGGCTTCTTAAATATTTTTTCTCAAAGAAAGAAAGAAATACCGGATATATATATATATATATATATATATATATATATATATATATATATATATATATATATATATATATATATATATATATATCCAATGAAAAAAAGTCAGAAATCACAAATCTCGAAAAATCATTTTTACTGTTAGCGCTTTCTGCCTAATGGCTCTTCAGACAGTTAAAAGTTAAATATAAAATTGCTTAGTAACGTTCATAAGCACGACGTCAAGTATTGTCCATTGTGACGTCATAATAACGTTAAAAGGTAGCATTATAATTCGCACCGCTACAATCACTAAAATAAACCAAAAAACATGTAGAAAATTAACTTAGGTTAAAACTGAAGTAATTATTTTCTGTTAAGTTTTGGGTTAAATAGTTTAATGAAGTAGTCCTCCTTTGCTACTCTGGATATTTCACAGTCACTGTGCATTTTATAAAATGGAAATAATTTAAATTTCCCTTCTCCACAGGTAGCAAAGTGCTCACTGCACGGCGTATTCCTTATGCTAGGATCCCGAATTTGCTGTTTATGGACTCGCACTCGTGCGTTCAGTTTGCCGGTTTGTCCTATGTAGTTTTCATCACAGGTTGGACAGGTTATGCAGTAAATAACATTTTCTGATTTACAGGTCATGTTGGCGTTTGGTGTTAATTTTTTACCACATTTTAAAGTTTTTTCGCTTCCCTCTTCCAGATATTCACATGTTCCACAACGTGGGTCACGGCACTTTCTGACGACTTTGACATTGTTTGTTGCAAATCTTGCTCTTGTTAGGATTTTCTTCAGATTGGGTGCCTGTCTTCTGCTATTGATAATTTGAGACTCCTTGATAATGTCTTTTAGATTCTGAGATTGTTCTAAAATGGGAAAAAATCTCCTGG